ACAGCTTTTATTGTCAATCCAGTTTCTGTCTCAACCATTTTCATATAATTATATTGAGCTCCTATCTCTCAGCCGTTTAGCCTATAGGCAGTTGCTATACCCTACCAGTTTCCCAATACAAATGAAAAGTTTTAGGAGCAAGGGATATATTTACATATATCTGTTATAATACAAAGTTACTTCAAAATAATTATACGAAAGAACCACTCCATTATTACTTGTATGTATTTGTGGTTGTGAATTTTTTATTAAGGGAAAACGTTCTACTCAGTGGGAGTGAAGAACAAGAAACTTATTTAATGCTGGCTTAAACAGTAATATAGCATGATTTAAGCTTTCGTTAGTAGGAGGAAGATTATGCAATAACTTAATTACAGTACATAAAACTCTCTTCTGGTATTTATTGAGGTTAGTGATTGTCACGTGGAGATTAAATCTTTATATATGAATTGTTTAACATTTTTTCATGTTGTCTGCAACAAGTAACAATAATGAGAGTAAGAATTTGCTAGCCAGGAGAATAATGTGAAATTTCTTAAATACTTCCCTGCAACAGACAGTTCTTTTAACTCCTGCTATTGTTCTAATGATTTTTTTTACAAACAACACTTTTTTTGCTGTTTGTTGAATTTTCCCTCAAAATTATTCCATTTGACATATGGAATGGAAGCAGGTGAAGTACAGGAATTTTAAAGCTTCTGTTATGAGTAATGTGACTGTCCTTATAGCAGAGCGTGGTGAACTTGGTTGGGGGTAATATATTGTCTGTCAATAAAGTTTGCAAACTCGTGGCGGTAAAAGTGCTACATATCTCACTGCTGAATATCACTATGGTCGCCTTGAGAGAACTCCCCTTGGAAGCTATGCAGTGGTGCCAGCACCTAGTCCTCCCTTCAAAACAATTTTAGAACTGGTTTTGTGGAATGGCCTTCAGAGCTGTCATTGTATTACTGCTGATGTCATCCCCCCAGGCTATCCCAGCATTTTATGGAACCCGAAGGTTCATCACCATGTTCACAAGCCCTCAACTGGTCCTTATCCTGAGCCAGATCTATCCAATCCATACCGTCCCATCCTATATCTAAGATCCATTCTAATATTGTCCACCCATCTATGCCTTGGTCTTCTCTGTGGTCTCTTTCCTTCTGGCTTTCCCACCAATATCCTATACGCATTCCTCGTCTCCCCCATTCGTGCTACATGACCTGCCCACCTCATCGCCCTTGTCTTGATCATTCTAATTATACTTGGAGAAGAGTACAAGTTATGAAGCTCCTCATGCAGTTTTCTCCAACCTCCTGTCACTTCATCTCTCTTCAGTCCAGATATTCTCCTCAGCACCCTGTTCTCAAACACCCTTAGTCTCTGTTCCTCCCTTAATGTCAGAGACCAAGTTTCACACCCATACAGAACCACAGGCAAAATTAGTTTTTGGACAACAGACGAGAAGACAATAGTTTCTGGTGATGTCATCAGTGTCATAAAAATTCCTTCCTTTCAATATTTCCTTTATCTTTGGGAGCAGAAAAAAGTCACTGGGGGCTAGATCCAGTGAATAGGGAGGTGTTCCAGCACATTGATTTGTTTACTAGCTAAAAACTCCTTCACAGGCAGTGTTCTTTGATGAGCTCCTTTAAAATCATTTTTGTGCACACCTTCCTCATGTCAAGGTCTTCAGGTAAGATTTTCCTACCTGTTTTTCCATCAGTGTTCACTTTCTCTGCTATGCTCCTGACAGTCAGCTGATGATTTTCACGCATAATTCAACAAAATTTATAGTGTTTTCTTCAGTTCTGCTCAATGCTGGCCATCCTGATCTCTCTTCGTCAGTAACACTGTCTCTTCCCTCAGAAGAACATGTCACTCACTTGTAAACTGCTGTTTTCTTCATAGCATTAGCTCCGTAAACTTGCACTAACATTTGTTTTACCATCAGTTTGAGGGCCAAAGAGTTTACTTATTTCTACTTCTTCAATTGTTTTATTATCATAGCCTGTATTTAGATTAATAATGTTTTGCTGTTAGTACAGAATTTCACTTTTTTTGTCAATATCTAATATAAGTTTATTTGCTTTAAACCACATGTTTAAGCAAGGAAAGCTATCATTCATGCCATTTGAAAACAGTCAATTCCTGGATATGATATAATAATATCATCAGGAAAGAGTATGGGTTTGAATTGAAAATTGATGGTTGTTGTCAGATCATTGAAATTATATATATATATGAGAAAAAGCAAAGGAACATTTATTGAACCACGAGGACCTCCATGTTTTATAATTTGAGTTGGGCAATTTTATTTATGCATGTTGCGTCCTGTTATGAACTTATGATTTCAGTCACCACCCAGTTATGGTTATATGCTAGCAAACAACATAAACATATCTGAGAGAAGTTATTCATGAAATAAAATTACTTGAATGATTGTTAATTTCTTAGATGTTTTAAATGAGTGTTAATTTCTAAGATGTTTTATTTCTTTTTGGTTGTATGTATTCACAAAATGTCTGAAATATTATAAATTAATGTAACCACTGATATCTGTATATTTGAGAAGTCTCTTTTGTTCAGATATGACAATTTTTGGAGAAACTATGTTTTTGCTGGGGATAATTATCAATAATTACTCTTGTTTGCATATTAAAACTAAAACTAGTTAAAACTAAAGGCCTGTATTTGCATTTGTTTAGTTCTAACAGCTTTGACCATATGGGTTCATTGTGGTTCCTTTAATTGTTAAGACAAAAATTACTTTCTTGTTCCAGCCACTGTTAAGCTGTATGCCTGTTCAAGGATCATGTTGCCCGCACAAGAGAGGAGTGTAATGTTGATGAAGAAGATCGCCAAGGGAACACACAGAAATGTGAACTATGTGTCAAGGCTTTTCCAGCCTCAAAATGTTGTTCCTAAAGATGGCATAGTGAAGAGGGAAGACTCTCTGTCAAAGAGCCAAAAGGTGGGTTCATGTGTTTCACTTCCACAGTACAGCAACTTCTCTGAGCATTCAACAGTTACACTTTTAAATCATAAAATTAACATGTTTTGACTATAATCATCAGCTGATGTACACACAATCAGCCAAATACATATTGGTTGTAAATACAAATTTGATAAATGACATGTATAAAATGTAGTTAAAATAATAATGAATCAGGTCAGATCCAATTTAATTTCATAAAGACATGAATATAAAAATGAAAATAATTTTCCAAATATAAATATTCTCCATCATATGTATCTACTATGTATTCTGAATTTTCTGCATAACTGGCACTTCACACCCTTGTATTACACATGCCATCTTTGCCAATCCAAGCTAAATTTGAACTTGTACATTAGTTTGTTTTCTGTCGGCATTTGGAATAGTATTTTTGGTGCTTTATCTGTTGGGAGGCAGCTGAGGTTGACTCTTGTAGTGCAGTGTACATCATAAAGGCAAGAACCATCTTGTACGAGGGGCATTCAAGTTCTAAGGTCTCTCATTTTTTCCTCAGGACTGGGAGCAGATAGACACATGCGGTTCAGTTTAAAATATGTGTGCACTCTTTGTGAATGTGCCAGAGATGGCAGCACTGTACAGCACACAGAACTCTAGTGGTGACAGTGAGAGTGACGAGTGTTTTTGATACCTAAAATGGCGAAGTTTTCATTACAAGAACAGTGAGTAATCATTCGTTTTCTCCACTTGGGTGGTGTGACACCCATTGAAATTCATTGCCAGTTGAGTGAGACATGTGATGATGGTGTCATGAATGTGAAAAAGCGTTCGTGGGTGCAACAGTTCAAAGAAGGCTAAATGTCATGTGACAATGAACTAAAACAATCTCGGCCTCGCACCAGCCAGTCTGACAACATGGTTGAGCAAGTTGAGAAAGTTGTTTTGGAGGATCGCCGATTGAGTGTGGAAAACATCGCCTCCAAAGTTGGCATTTCCATGGGATCTGTGTACATAATCCTGCATGAAGACCTGCAAATGTGGAAAGTGTCCTCCAGGTGGGTGTCACGAATTCTGGCGGATGACCACAAGGCTGCACGCATGGCAATTTGCTAGATGATGTTGACACGTGATGAAGGCATGAATGGGACTTTCTTTTCATCAATTGTGACAATGGATGAGACATGGATGCCGTTTCTCAATCCTGAAACGAAGTGCCAGTCAGCTCAATGGAAGTACACAGACTCACCGTCACCAAAAAATTTCGGGTAAGCACCAGTGCTGAAAAAATGATGGCGGCCATGTTTTGGGACAGCAATGGCGTAATCCTTACTCATTGCATTCCAAAGGGCACTATGGTGACAGGTGCATCCTATCAAGATGTTTTGAAGAACAATCTCCTTCCAGCACTGCGAGAGAAACGGCCAGAAAAGGCTGCACGTGTGCTCTTTCACCAGGACAATGCACCAGCGCATTGGGCATACACAATGCAGCAGTTTCTTCATGGAAACAACCTTGAAGTGGTTTCTCATGGTCCCTACTCACCTGATCTGGCTCCTAGCGATTTTTGGCTTTTCCCNTACACAGACTCACCGTCACCAAAAAATTTCGGGTAAGCACCAGTGCTGAAAAAATGATGGCGGCCATGTTTTGGGACAGCAATGGCGTAATCCTTACTCATTGCATTCCAAAGGGCACTATGGTGACAGGTGCATCCTATCAAGATGTTTTGAAGAACAATCTCCTTCCAGCACTGCGAGAGAAACGGCCAGAAAAGGCTGCACGTGTGCTCTTTCACCAGGACAATGCACCAGCGCATTGGGCATACACAATGCAGCAGTTTCTTCATGGAAACAACCTTGAAGTGGTTTCTCATGGTCCCTACTCACCTGATCTGGCTCCTAGCGATTTTTGGCGTTTCCCAACGATGAAAGACATTCTCCATGGTCGCACATTCACCAGTCGTGCCGCTATTGCATCAGCGATTTTCCAGTGGTCAAAACAGACTCCTACAGAAGCGTTCATAGCGGCCATGGAATCATGGCGTCATCGTTATGAAAAATGTGTACAGCTGCAGGGAGATTACGTTGAAAAGTGACAGAAGTTTCAAATTTTTTGTACGATTATTGTGTGAGAAGAGAAATGGGAGACCTTAGAACTTGAACACACCACATAAATTAGTTTAATTGGAGTCCTTGACAGCTGGTAAGTGTGGTAGAATGCGTGTATTCGAAGGCAAGGAATTGATTTGCTGATATAGTATGATGTATGTTCTTGAAGGGAATGTTACCATCTTGGTATGTAGTATACATGAGAAAGTATTGTAACTGGAAAAAGTGATCCCAAGATCCCAATTAGAAACATTCATAAATATTCTATAGAAGATTTAAAATTAGATTAAGTTATAAATCCTGGGACAGTATTTTTAGCAACAACGATAGCATGGATGTAGATTCATTGTTTAATATATCTCTGAATAACTATCTAAGAATATCTTACACAAGTTTTCCTCTCAAAAAAGTAACCAAGAGAGTTAATAAAAATTACTGGATAATACCTGGCATAAGGATTTCCTGTTATCATAAAAAATATATATATTTTCTTAGTAGGGGTAGTAATGATATAAATATGAAAAGGATTTATAAGCAATAATGTAAAATATTAGCAAGGTTGATTAAAGAAGCTACAAGGTCAATGTATAATAATCAATATTATATTTGAGCATCCTGTTACACTTGCACAATATATATAAAATAAACACCGTCTTAAGTGTAACAATTTTATTGTAGTTTATTGTAGTGAGGGGAAAGAAGAAAGAACTACAATAAAATTGTTACACTTAAGATGGTGTTTATTTTATATATAGTATAATAATCAGGTTGTTAACTCTGCTAAAAAAGTGAAAACAATGTGCAATATTATAAAAGAAGAAACAAATATAGTAAAGGGACATACATTTAGCAAATATCAAAATCCTCTTGAAGCTTTTAACAAATATTTCCTGTCAGCAGCTGGGGAAATTATTGAGGACCTTAAAAATAACAACATAAAAGTTTCTAATAATAATGAAGACCCAAAATACTACATGTCTAAATCATTTCAGAATTCATTCCCTAATATAAAATTTAAAAACACATCCACTAAAGAAGTTGAAAGAAGTATCAAATCCCTAAGACTAAAGAACTCATGTTTATGATGGAATCTCCACAAAGATATTAAAGGTTAGTGCTCCCTTTATTAGTTCTCCTCTAAATTATATTTGTAATAAATCCATACTATCAGGAATCTTCCTTACTCGCTTAAAATATTCTGCATTAAAACCATTATTTAAGAAGGGTGATAATGAAAACACGACTGATTATAGACCAATCTCTTTATTAACTTCATTTTTTAAAGTATTTGAAAAAAATGATATATGATAGACTTTTGCAACATATCAAAGCTAATAAAATTTTAGCAACTGAACAGTTTGGCTTCAGACCTGGTGCATCAACAGAAAGGGCCTCCTATAGATTGACTGATGAAATATTGAAGGCATTGAACAATAAAATGATGGTTCGATTTATTTTTTGTGATTTGCATCAAGCCTTTGACTGTGTTAATCACAACATTCTATTAACAAAACTGGAGTATTATGGAATAAGAGGAACATCACTTAAACTAATTAAATCTTACCTAGAGGGCAGATACCAAAGAGTGATTTTAGACAACTCTCAATCCCAATCAGATAAAATTTGAAAATACTATTAATAAAGTTTTCCAAGATATAAATAGATGGTTGACTACTAATTTATTGTCATTAAATGTCCATAAGACTCAATTTATGTGATTTGTAACTAAGACTAGCTCCCTTCTTGACCTAAATATAATTCACAGGAACAAGAAAATAGTTAACACTTTGCGAACCGCGCACCCTTTAAAAGGTTTTTCGCTTTTAAACATGGCGGACCGTTCGCATGTTAACAGGCTTTTAGAACACACTGTACATCGCTCTGGCGCCACCTACATTGCACACAACCACCTGCAGATGCGTGATAAGACTCTGGAATGTTTAGTTAGCAGTCAGTAACTTGACCTTGCTGTTTACTTAACCGACTATAAAGGAAAATGCTCTGCCTTCTTCAAGCTGTGTGTATCAGCCAGTAGCTAGTGGGGAGAATGGATCAAGGACAAATTCTCCTCCGATGACATAGCTGATCTGCCGTGTGATGAGACGCGTAGTAATGGATTAATCATCATGCAGACAGCGACAGTGACGGGGGACAACAAAGAATTGTGGCCACAGACAGTAAAAGTGACAGTAGCTTCGACGATAATGCGAGTAATAACATTGTGCATAGTAACATTGCGGGGACAGCAGAAAATCTAAAAAAAAATCTAAACCCTGATTGTAAATTGAAATACAAAGCATTTCTGATGAATGTGGCAAAGGCCTTGGCTACAGTCCAGATGGTGGTGGCAGAACCAGGGTCACACAAAGACTTAGTATGACCGGGCCCATCACTTCCCACCCCACGAAGGCCTCATGTGAAC